CATTTCAACCAACAACATGGCGAGCATTTATGTGAGAAATAAGCTTTAAAATAGCTTTCGGTGATAACGTGAGCAGCAGGCATCAATCAGAAAATTCATGAGCAATTTCTAACTTTTTATTTAGTGCTTCTTGTTTTTTCCATGACAGGGTATCATTTGAAACACAACTGCAATGATGCTGAGATATTTGCAAAACTCGTAACCCAGGCCACATTCAAACCCTCTAACACCCTTTCAGAAGGTTCACATGTTATCCGTAGCACCAACCGAGACTCTTCGTTTGCCTCTCTCTGATCCAGTCTTTTACACTTGTGGCGAAGCATTCCACTTCTCCGGATATGCCAAATTGATACCAAATTTGCCCTGAAGGATAACATCGCTAACTTCAGACATCTGCAGACTTCGACAAGTTATTGTAAAGGCCAGGTGTTCATTAAGTCACCTACAATGATGCTTAAAAAAGTCGAATGCATGATTTATGCTTCAGGGTTTGATCAACGCCTAGAGTTCTGTCTTTTTTATTGGCCATGCTGTCAACATATCAACTTTTTCTTGTCGTGTTTAAGAGTAGAGTAGAAGTGTAGAGTAGCTTTGAATTTTTCCAAGTCCATAATGAACGGTTAGACTTCTTCTTCGTCATAGGTTAATGTCGGTGCTTAAACGACCAAGATTGTTAAAGCCGGTATTAATCCACATCTCTTCAATCGTAAGCGTACGATTAGGGTTGTTAGTTGTTTGAATGAATTAATGTTCATGGCCAAACTCATGTTGAACACAGACGCCGCCAACTTCTCTACTGTCGCATGTTCTGAGATGCAGTTCTTCTTCGGTGTAATAAACAGCAATGAATGGTTGGCGGATTCTCATCTCAGCCTCTTCGATGACGTCGTTCCTTATGATAACTGGCCGCATAATCAAATCCTCCATCAAGGACCTAGGTGCAAGTATAAGTATTTGTGGGTACAGATCGTCACCTTAGTCGTTTGCGATTTAGGCTGCTTAGAATCCCCTGAGACTTCAGCGGCCTCTTCGTACTCCTCCTGCTCAGCACCGCCGTATCGAGGCTCTTTCGCAGTCAAGGAAATAAGGCTCGTTTGTTTCACTATTTTTGGCTTTTTTATATCCACGTATAGCTTGCAGAGCACTGGGCGTGGAGGCTGGAAAGGAGGAGGGGTGGGCTAACTTGCCAGTTTTTTTCAAGGTAGGCGGAAGAGCTCATTTGTTGGAGGTGAGTCTTGGCCGCCTCCGATATACTTCCCTATTGCTTGATTGCAGGTTTTTGAGCAAACTAACTTGTAAATACAATCTGCATAAACAAGAACACACCTACGCACACATGCATCAATACGTAAATAGAGAAGTTGTGTGGCAAATCGGCGCTGCAAAAACGGGAAGTGCAACGCTTGGATCCACTCGCACATCAGGGAAGCAAATGTTTCTTTTGGCCCTCGAATAGCTTCCTATTCGCCACTTGTGGACGTTCCACGTTGCCTAGCGACTAAACGGGATGATATCCCATGGAGCCATCCATTAGTTAAAAGTTGACCATCTCACCGCAAAGATTAAATTTCAGGCTCAGAATCGTCAATCATCCACTAATCTGTGTAAAACGAACAATGTAAGAGACTGATTGAATTCGTTATAGCGGCAGACACCGTCTATGGTTATTCACAATTTCAAAAGGCAACATTTTTACGTTGAATATGGGAGGATGAGACAGCATAGTACTTTAACGAGAACGAGCACATCGCTACCAATCAAAATTATCACTCGCTGTTGCCACTATTGTTCCAATTGTTCCAGGGCCAACAATTGCTCTTTGTGAACAAGATTATTTTCTAGAGAACTTCCAAACTACTATGAAAGTGCATGAGTTGTGTTTACCAAATTCCAGCAAGACAATCTGAAGTTGCTGAGATTGGAAAGAACGGAAAATCGACAACAACGACCACGACTTGGCGATTCTTCATCTTCATGAATCTACAGGGAGTAGTCACTTTATTCAGAAGGGCTGTGGAAATTATGATACACAAATTCTATCACTATCGCTTTGTTGTACTCACGTTCACCTACCTTTTTATATAACAAAAGAACTAGGTGTAGCAGTGTAGGAGAATTCTCCATCATTCATCTGAAAGAGAAAGTTCAAAGCTTCAAACTGCATCAACGACCAGTAGTCAGAGACGCTTCCGTGCGCGCCAAGGCGTCAAAAATCGCATATCTCGGAAACGTAAAGAGTCCTAACGGTGGATACTCGCGAACTGATAGAAAGTGTGTCGCTTGAAATGTCAAGCGCATGGCACAAGGACTACCGGTCATTTATTGTGAATTCTTTACGAAGATCATCGAAGAAGAATACAAACCTTTGAGTCCACTCTTCTGCCAAAATTCACTAGACTACTACGACTTCAAACAAGGATATTTAGAGGTTTAAATAGGCCTCATTTATTCAAAGACCAGCTGGTGGGCATGTGTTCATACGCAAATACGAGGCTTTAATTACGTATGGCTCTATTAGAAGTGACTGAGAAACTAACATCCTACATCTTTTCAATTTAAAGATTTAATTATTGTCATCCATTTTCAGGAACCCAGAGCGATCACTTCAAGAAGTTCTTGCGATCTTTCTGCCAAACTTGTCCAGCTTCAATATTTTACTCTGGGACGTTAATAATTATAACAAAGCTCTTCACCAAATCGCTTTCGGCTCCACTTTTTCCATTCTGAAAATGTACTCATTGTTTATTGATTATTTGGTCATTATTCTTTTTTGTTTTAAAGGAAGAGTATTAACTACAGCAAGAAATTTCAAGCCGTTCTCGAAGCTCCGGATTTGTCGTCGATCTCATTATTGCCATGTTCTCCTGTTGGCTTAATACTGTATTCAACGGGAGAATCCCTATGATTAGGGCTGTTCACACAATAAAATTGAAATGGTGAAAGCTAATGAAACACAAATGTTACGTAAAACGCAAACTTTTTGCACCGAATGCATTGAAAACAATGCTGGCAGGAAGTTATGTTAATTGAGATGTGAACTAAATAGGATCTACAGTTCCTTGGCAATCAAAAGCGATTTGCCGTACAATGAAGTATCCTTCTTTTTCTAGAATATAGTTGTGGCATTCTATAGCCCACAAACATATTTCTTCCCTCTTCGCTTTTTTTGTGTCAGAGCTCGTATTTCGAACACGAAAGCAATTAAAGGAGCGAAATTTTGCCCAGTAGGGCAATGGTGCTCCCTAATGTTGGTGCTTCCAGCTGCCATCCTTGCATCGCAAGTTTGAACTTTAGATCACATTTTGACTTAGAAATTTTAAATCCTATATTAAGTTTCAATTTAGAAACTAAATGACGCCTCGTAGAAAGTATCTATGGGCTCGAAGTGACGAAGCAAAATTTGCACAAAATTCTGAGATTCTCAAGTCTTCAACTGCTTTAGTGATCGAGAAATTATCAACATTGTCAAAAACCACCATGATCGTGAATGTGCTAATCCTTAAAATAATTGTTTAACACCATGTTCTAAAATTGTGCTCGAGTGCCAATATTGGTGGGACTGTATTTGCTACATACCATGTGTCTCATATGCACAACCGTTTCTTCACCGTAGTTCGATTGAAGTGCCCTTCTCGTCATCTCATCGTTAAACTTCTTCTCCGCTTTGATGACATTTTCACTCTTCGGTCTTCGTTGACAAGACGTTGTCCCGTTGTTCCAACAACGTTTAGTTTTCAGCTAAGGATTTGTTATGGTACGTTTGCGATGAAAAGCCGGTTAATGCTCGCGTTCTTTTTCCCCATAATGGTGAGTTTAGCCGTTAATGCACATTTTTATTCTTACTTTTAAACCGTTTTGAAGTCTTCCGTTAAGCATGAAGTGTCTTGAGTTGTTATTTAATGAAAGCTTTCCAACAAAAGTTCGAATCAAGACTGCTGAACAGCATTGGTTTTTTGCGTTTAAATTGTTTGGCCTGCATGATGTTATTATGAAATCTTTATTGGTCTAACGTTTCGAGGTCTTCACCTTCCTCAGAGCCAGAAGTATGGACATCGACTCGGATCGGCAGCTCTGAGGAAGACGAAGACGTCGAAACGTCAGCCGAATAAAGGTTTCGTAACAACCTCGCGTAAGCTGAACAATTCAAACATATTTTGCTTGGTCTTACCCAGGTTAAAGGAACGAAATTCTTTAAAATATCGTTTTTGTTTCTATCTTGGTGAATGAAAAAAGTGAAGGTGAAAATGGAGTCCTATCTCTTACACTTACACTTGTAGAAAGCCTGGTATCGTAACGCCAAAAATGATTCTGAACACTAGGGGAATGAAAAATTTGATTGTGTTTATTTTACGACAGCGATAAAGCTACGATTTCTTGAATTTTAATAAAATAACAGCAATAGTAAAATAAAAGACAAAGTAGATCTTCTACGAAACAGTGTTTTTCTGCCCAATGTAGTTTAACCAGTTTATCGTTGAAGTACCAAAACAGTTTTCATTCGTCTCTCATGAGTTCAAAAATGCGAAAGCACTTCTCTGCCGTGTTATATGATGCACACAGCGCAGCCGGATTAATTTTTCCATATGGTCATTGAGCCCAACCGGTAGATTAATTTGCTGCCATAAAAGGAATCGTTGGTGTGCCGTAAGGATCGGAAAACAAGCACGCCGCATTCTGATTCGCTAAAGCTGGAAATCTTGTCAGCGCTTACCGTGGTAAGGGCGGTGAGAACGCCATAGCACGGTTCCCCTCGAACTCAAGAGAAGGAAAAATCCCGTTCGATTGCCGTTCTTAGCCGAGAAGAAGAGGGTTCCTCAAGTCGTAGTCACACTTACGCATGAATTCCACCAGCTCCACGGTTGATGGTCGCCAGGGAATCTAAGGAAGAAGTCGCTGGACAAAAGATGTATGTGTGCGATCTAGGTGCCTAAGTTTCCAGGTACTTAAAGTTTAACAACTTCGCTGAGTTCGTCCGAAGTCTTCTAAACACTGCGCTTCTCCCACGCTTCATTCCTAAACTGGGAGATGTCTCTTGTCGTTCTCAATTTACTGCTTAGCAATTATAAGATTAAACAGTTCCATTGCTTAGGTTCTCACAGTGTCAGATTTCCAATTTCGATTTTCGATAAGTATTCAGTGAACTGGCTCTCGAAAGCAGAATCAATTTCATTTCACAAAATCAGATTTTTTGTCAACTTCTCTCACCAATTGATGTAATGTTTATAAAAGTGTGATCATTGCTCTGTTGCAGGTGGCTGGAAAACGCATGAACTGCCCGTCGGAGACATTAACTGAGAGCCAAATCGTTACTACTATCTTTTCGAACTACTCGAAAATGCTGCCCGAGACAGATAATGCAGTCGACGTTCAGATCGAAATGCACGTACAGGTTAAATCTTAAGCATCCTTGAGTTGGCTGATATCCACCTTTACAGTTTCTAAGTTATACAAAGCGCGGTCTGCTATTGTTTCAATGCGTTGTCTCACCACGATGCTTCTTGTTTGTTTGAACGTTAATGGAGCTTCAAAATGAGGCCCAGCTCCTTTAATGTGATTAATACAGACTCACTAGGCTCTATGTAGGCCACTAACCTACGCTAGAAATTTGAAAGCAAGCTATGCTGAAAGCAAGCTGAAAGCTTGAAGATAAAAAAGCGCTGCATCATAAAAAACCTGTAAACTGGGGATTCCTGTTCAAGCCCTCTTCGAATATTTTCCTCCACAACTCTTCGATAAAATGGCGCTAAGAAGGAAATGAAGAAGCTGTTAAAGAATGACGCTATATTCAGCGCTCTTCACCAACTAAATCTCCTTTTGCATAAAAAAAATAATCATGGACGTGCAATAGAAAGCGTTCTATGCATACGTTCTTTCGCCGTTCATCAAAATGGAGTACCATTAACATAATGAGAAAGCGTTCCCTACTGTTTTCTTCATCGGGGAAATAAATGAAGTTTTTCTCGGCTCCTCTATAAGGCATTAAATCATTTAAAAAATTCTTCTACCTTTGATTTTCGTGCGACACTGCTAACCTGGTTGGTTTATCCTTCCCAGACTTTCATGCGGCAGTGCTTCCTTAATGGCCAATACCTTTTAACAGCAGTTGTTTTGGCGCGCTCCAGTTCGTGAAGGATAAAAATCAAATCCTCTTTGCTCCAGCGTATTTCTTCGACAACAGAACAAGAACAAGGTGGATTTTTTCAAAATTATGCCTTCAATGACTGAGTATTTCTTTTTGAATGAAAAGAGTGAAAATAAGCCCTCACATTTATTTGGGCAATCACTGTTTCTTCCAATGTCTATTCTGCTTAGGTATATTTTGCTTTCGGTCTTTACTCATATTGTCAATATTGTATTAAAGGCACTGAGGGCAAAAAGTGTTACCTACCGACCAAATCTGACTTTGTTCTCACTATTTAGTTTTCCTGAACTTATTTCCTTTCCATATGTAGGTAGCGTGCACGCGTTTCCGAATGCCTCGAGCATAGGGAGTGATATTGAACTGGACCGACCCGAGCTCTTGAGACTGCGAACTGCCTTGAAATACGAAGCCATATTCCTGTTTTTCAATTCAGCCAAACATATAGATTCATGGCAAGGATACTATTCTATTTGAGCGCCATACAATGCTACATAGCTATACAATTATTAAAGTTTATGTACACCCTTCATTGTACGATTTAAAAATTTCCTGCTTGCAACTAATCTCTATATTAAAGAATGTTAAGAAAATTGCAAAAGACTGAAAGCCGAAGTCATAGTCATTTTTTTTATTATATATATATATATATATATATAGCCTAAAAAACCGACTTACTATAAACCTTGGCGTAGATAGTTGTTTATAAGATCATATAAATGTATATATATTTGCATGTTACTGAAGGTTGTTCCAATTTCGCATCTACGGTAATGCGGCTGTTTTAGCGGTGGCTGACAAACGCCTTAGAATAAGAAAAAATGATGGTTTTTAGGACATGGGATCTTTGAACGAAATCACCTCGGATTTCGAGATTGACATCCTCCTAACGCAATTGTGGCAGGACGAGTCATTGTCCTTCTCTCACGTGCCAGCATGCAAAAGGTGCTCTATTCCTTTTTATTTCCCGTCCTCCTTGTGGTTGTGTTTCACGTGAAACTCTGCCGTGAAAAAAGAATAAGCAGCAAATAACAATTAAACTTACTTACTTGATACACAAATGGCCTGCCCTCACTGGTTGTGCGGGCGCCAGCATAATCTCTATTTTTCGGAGATTTGCCGCTTATGCCATTATGGCTACTGTACATCGCGGGTGGAGTCCCGAGGTCAGCCTGGCTCAAAGACCACCCCAGGTCTTTACCAGCACAGGCAGCTGCAGCCTTTGTGGATTAGAGGGAGATTTGTCACCATGCGACTTTGATGCCAGGACGGTGGTGGATCCCGGTATTGGTTTACTCCTAGCTAGGCTTCCTGATGGAAACGCCGGACTCCTTCTCAGCTTGGGAGACCCTGCTAGGGGGTGAAACCCCCACTGTACATCGCGGTCCGACACCCAGGAACACCTCCCAGCCACGATGAGGCGGTAAACCGTTGGGAGAAAATAACAATTAAAACATATATGGATTTCCTTTAGTTGTGAATATCGACCGATGAAGTCTTGTGGTTGTATCAGAATGTTTTTTCGTGTTTGATTTGATGGAAAATGTTTTCTTCAGAAATATCACGATGGAGCCACGTCTATTGCAGAACATATGGACGCCGAACACCTGCCTGATCAACTCGAAGAGAACGGTCATCCACTCCTCACCTAGTGATAACGTGATGTTAATCCTCTATGAGGTCGGCAATGCTTCACTTTGCATTTTTCTTACTTTTCTTATCCGTGCATAAAAGAGAAATCTTGTAAGTGACGCCTAACAGATTATTGTTAATTCAACGTCGCAAAGAGAACAAGAGGGAAATTATGAAAGCTATCGTCCGGTGCAGTGCTAAGAAAGAAGTGTGAACATGGCTTTGTTGTAATCGTTACAATCGCGTGTTTGTCCTTACATGTGTATGTATGCTTGCATATGTGTGTATTTGTGTGTGTATGTATTTATGCGCATTTATGTATGTATGTGTCTATGCATATGTGTATACATGTATGTATGTGCGCGTACAAGTGTGCAGGTCTGGACGTATTTGTGTGTGCATGGCTGGATATATGCATACATATATATGTATATATATGCATATTTATATTACAAATATCATAAATAAAACAGCGGAACGTTCTCTTTTACATTTCTCTAGCTGGACTTGGAAAGTGAGCTGTTGTAAAGGTGCACTTTCGCCCATGAATACAATTTAACGAGAGCAAAACACGATCGTATCTTTGTGTTTACTAAGAAGGAAATAACGTAGTTTCTCTTTTGCTTTCCTATAAAGTACCAAGCCCCAACTAGCATTTCCCCCTATCTCCATAATATGTGGATCTGGTTTGATCTTAGTCGGAAGTTCAAGTAGGAATAGTAATCGAGGGCAACTTTGAGCCACATAAACTGATGCATATCCTACCTATAATGCGCTGGAGTAACATCTTTCGTGTGTGGATATATACAATGGATGTGGTGCTTGCATCTTGTCCTTCACTCGTCCGAGGAAGTTCTACAAAGTGAATAAGAACTACACAAGATGATGCTTCAGTTCAGCAAACGAAGAAACTTGGTGGTACTTCCTAAGGTAGAAAACGAAAAGTTTGCCTTTAGAAAAGCACAACATGGTACCCATGAGTATCACTGAGTTCCTTCCTGAAATCTACCCTCAAGAGCTGTAGAAATGCGAACTTTCTAAGTTCATCTGACCACGATGGTTGCACGATAATACGGTATAAGCTTGGCCAAATACTATTGAAATTTATGGGAATTTGGGAAGGAAATCTTCGAAATTTAAGATCTTTTTCCAGTCTCTTGAAAATTCTAATTCAAATGGTTTAAGGTGAAGAAAAATTTCGCCAGAATTGTGTATTATGTATATCTCTAAGGCGATAGCCTTTAAGGTGATTCTCTTCCGTAAGTCGGAAAGTTGAAAATGCTAGAGCGGCAAAGAAGCGTTGATTCCCTGAAACTCCGGAGACGAAAGCCAAGATGAAGCTAAAATTATGGAAGACTCGTAATGTGCCACCAATTATGGAGTCGGAAATCCAACGGAGGATGAAAATACGCGCCGCTATATCGGAACCGCTATCGAAAGAGTGATGTTAAAAATGTCTCATAAGAGAAAGCGGAAGAGGAATTTTCGACCTCCTTCGAAATCAATGATAGGTGATCAAATAAAAGATGTTGGGAATCAGCTGGGCTAAAGCCTGATGGCAACTGATGAGCAAAAGCTGTTAGCAATTGCGATCGATGTCTACGCGCTATATTCTCACAACTGGTAGACGACTGACACAATGGATACACTCCTTCATAAACAACAAGCGCTAAAGAATAATAGTTCCCTCTGTCCATTGACAGAGAGAACCTATTCAGCAACTCCTTCTCTGGCGTGCGACAAAGGAGAATCAATCAAGAGAGGTGCAACTGCAAACAAGTGCTGATGTCGCTGACACTTCAAGGCACTGCTTTCATTAAACTCATACTTAAACTCAAAAGTCATTATTTAAAATAGCACTTATTTTACCCTGGCAAATTCGTCACAAAATGTGATATCTTCTGTTCTTTGGTTACAAAAGAGTCCTGTATTATATCACCAACTTTTCTTAGTGTATTGCATTCGAGGTCAATGGAGACTCTGCGGCCTCCATCTCTGTAGAAGTTTTCACAATAATCCACCTATTCCACTTGTGTTTCTATAAAAAAATGCATCTATACTCAGTTTTTCGTCTTATTTGTTTTCCGATCTTCACCTTCGATACCCGAAGAAGCACCCTTATTAAATGGCAGAGCCAAGATGAGGATTTATTTGTGTCTCACATTAGGCATCAGCTTCTTGACAATGGTCAAATTCTAAAACGCTCCTCAATATATCTTTGGATAGGAATCCCTTCAAAATATGCTTGTGTTTCACATAAGCTTTACTTCTGATGTCCATCCATAATTAGTTTTTGGAACAAGATGAAAATATCCCTCTAATTTCCTTTATAAGAAGCGTAACGATCTGGTCTCTTAAACTTAAACCTGAAAAATTCCTAGATTTCGAAATCTCCTTAACGAGTATTTGAGACATTTGATTGTTTCTGTTTCGAAACATCCCGAAATAAAGTAAGTAATGCGTTGTCTTTCCAATGTGCATGAAAGTCTATTGGAATGATAAAATCAGTCGCAGCCTTCGTTCAGCAGTTTGATGTGAGCTGTCTTCTACTGTTGTTGTAATGCTGCTCTAAGTAGATAGAAAAAAGAAAGGAAACTTGTGTCGAGCTTTTATGTGGCAGTACAACGAACACGTTTTTGGTCTTTTTCACATTAAGCTCAAACTTCTGAAAAGGCTTCAGTGCACCTCAAAGTTTCACGTTAAAGGATAAAGGATAAAGCTCCCCGCGTTGATCAATCGCTGAGGGATGCGCCGTGTATTCGACTTCATTAAGCATCGTTTGGAGGAGATTGAATGAATATCTGTCATTTACAGTGGTTCGCGGTGGCCTATCGATGTGGCGACCCAGTGCTGCCATCCTTCCAGACAAGTCTGGTACCAGTTTGCTGACCACGGAGGGATGGAGGGCTGGTGGGCCATGGGCGCCGGGATCAATTCCACGTGTGTGTTGCAGGGCGCCTCCTACTACTGCGCCACACGTCCCCTAAGCTTCGTATTAGTGTCTTATATATAAACAAAAAAGGTACATCTTATATATTTGGTCAAAAGAATTGTATTCATATAATTCAGTAACTTCTTCCACCGCTTTCATATATTCAAACGTTTGTTCCTTCATCCCAGATTGGTTGTTTGCTTTGCAGAATTGCTTCTTGAAAATGGCAGAAAATGTTTGCTGAGGTTACGGCCGGTTTTTTGTCTGGAGTGTTTGCCTTTTCGAGTATCGGCGGACTAACTAGCAAGCCAACCTAGCTATTACCTCATTGTGTTCGTTTAAAATAAAGGGGGATAAACTTTATGACCACGTTTATATACTGTGCAATCGAATTGGGTTACACGTTCAATAATTCGAATTGGTTTAAATATAGTAGTTAGACAACATTCACTGGTGTTCATAAACAAACATGGTTTATTTTTGAAAAAACGTCTATGAAATACAGCCACTATGTGCCAAGATAATTGCAAAACCTGGGCTCCAAGCCAGATTCAAATCCGCAGTTACCTTTTCCTGGGGCTTACGTGCTCCGACATCACCACTGTGGCCCTTACTTCGCTTTTCTCTCAGACAGTTTTCTACCTAATGGTGCTATAAGCAATCACCTGTCAATGGGATTGATCTGGGAAGCCCAAATCGGCATCAAACACGGTTAGGCCGCGGGTGTAGTTGAAATCACAATGCTCACGTGTTACGCACTACACCGCTTATCCCCCGGAAAGGATAATCCTCGGTTCGAATCTGGCCTGAAATCCACGTTTTGCAAATATCTACAATTATAGCCAGTAAATAAAAAAGTAAGCGTTGTCTATGAAGTTTTTGAATAGGCGACACTGCTACATCTAGGGCTTTTTTTAGCTTATAGGTGAAATCAAAACACTAGATATTAAAAAAGAATGATCCTTTTCTTTTCAGTTTTTCTTTTAAGTCTTTTTGTCAAATGGTAGCTCGCAGTTGTTTTCCTCTGTGTGTTTCGTAGTTAAAAAACAGGAAATGTATTCGTAAACACTTTTTATTCTAATGACCGAGAGGACTAAGTAGCGCTTTCTGCGAATTTGGACTCTCTGAATACTTGCTCTCTCTGACGCCTCGCCCTAACTTAGAGAAAGCATGGTTCGTTCCTACTAGATACTAAATATCCATTCGAATCGCTCCTATCTTTCAGAGACTTGTGTAAAAATCCAATCTCCACATGAACATTCTCTTTGTTAATCATCAACTTTCTGGAGGCCAACAGAGAGACAAACGCTAAGAGAAAACTCTTTTATTCCAGTGCAGTTTTTTGTTAGAGCTCCAACTACGTTCCGAAGTAGTATAGATGCAACTCGAAAATTTTTCTGCACAACTAACGAATTCGGTTTCTTCGGACATTATTCATCTTTCAGTTGTCGTTTTGTTTTTAGAATGGCACGATATGGGTTAACCACCGGCTTTCGGTGAAATCACCTTGCTACCTCGATCTCCGACAATTTCCATTCGATGTGCAAAGTTGCATTTTGATCCTCGAATCCTACAGCCACAACGCCGAAGAGGTTCTCGAGATCTTCTTTTTAAATTTTCCAACGAAAAAAGTCCGAACGGGCATAAGAAGATCAGCAACTCTGAGGAAAAATTTTGAAATTTAGATCCCATGCCTAGGACAAAGTAACTAAACAGCGTGTAGACTATGACGCCAGGAGATTTTCGTCTCTGTTTTCACGATGGTTCCAAATCCAAAGCTGATTTTAAAACATTGAGTTTACAAAAGCGTGTCATAAAAAAAAGTTCTTAAGGCAGTTCTTCGCTCTGATGCACTATTTCTCTATTTCTTCAGTTTTTTCCCTATAAATTTCTTGTATCATCGATCACTTTGAGTATTGTCGTAGGTGCAATTGAGATGGATGGAGGAAGCGGTGACGTTCATGAAGCCGATCGAACTTCCCGATTTCGATATGGTTCATTTCAACACGAAGAAGAAAAATCTCCTCTATCCAAACGGATACTGGGACCAACTGCAGGTTAGCTCTCCGTCGGTGTTCTACACAAAGTACTCAAGCGACCAGTATTCTTGTAAAACGGCTTATCCCACAAGGAAAACATAGCATTCTGCTCAATACCATTGCATCTCGTCAATTTTATGTCTAAACATGAAACTGAAGAGCTTTAGAGTTCCACATGGTACTTTTGATGTCATTAACTAACTCTTTTTCTCCTCAATCATCGTGTAGAGAAAAACGCGTGCAAACAGACTGCAGGAGAGTGTTTTTACTTCAGTATCACGAAGGCAACCTAAATTTTCAACAATGGCTCTTGGAAAAGGTGCAAAATACTTGCCAATTTATTCGTTTTAAGCTCCACCCATTCTAAGAAATCTCGGTGCTTCTCTTTGCTTTTTGTCAACTTTTAACTTCCAGGTAGTGTTCACGTTCAAGCGCCGTTACGGATTCTACATCATACAAGCTTATGTGCCCACGTACCTGACGATTATCGTCTCGTGGCTGTCGTTCTGCATGGAACCGAAGGCCCTTCCGGCACGGACCACCGTCGGCATATCATCCCTACTAGCACTGACGTTCCAGGTCGGCCCGATCAGTTCTTGTGGGCGCTATTGGGAGCTAAGTGCGACAAGCTCCGGCTGCTCAGCGCTCTCTTCTGAACATGCAATTGCTGCTTCGTTAGCTCACGGAACAATAACCTCTTAACGAGTTGAACGAAGGCCCACAAATTTCTAATGCTGGCACTAAGCGCAATGTATTTCCAAAAACTTGAACATTCCTTTGCTTTTGAAACATGTCTTTATCCTGCAAAATAGTTTTCCAATTAGTGTATAATGTGGTCGATATGGCAAATTTACAGAGCCAATGTGATACGAGAGAAGGTTTCGTACAGCTCATTAAAAGCTAATACCGTCGCTAATTCGGACTAATTTTTTGCACAGCAGGAAAAGTGGCAAATTATTAGGAAAATTATTGCTTGATATCGATCTGCTTATTGAGAGAAAGCTTAAAACGTTCAGAAATCTCAGAATATTTGCTTCACTGCAGAGATGGAGACTTCGATTACTATTAAGGTCTAAGCGATGATTGATTTTTCAACCAGTTTCACTAATACTTAATAACCGAATAAAATATTCCAGTTTGGAAACATCCTGAAGAACTTACCACGGGTTTCGTATGTGAAAGGTGAGTGTCCGCTGCAGCTCTCCATCGCTAGCAGTGGATTGAGCAACTTATGCAAATTTAAGCCATGGACGTTTGGATGCTGGGGTGCATCTCGTTTGTGTTCGGAAGCATGGTCGAGTTAGCCTTCGTTTGTTATATCAGTCGATGTCAGAGCAGTGTCAGAAGGTGGATGGTTTTGCTGCTCAATCACATGTATTTTTGAGTTTTATCGTTTTCTATTTCCTTATATTTGTTCCAACACAGCTTTTACTTAGTGTGCAAACTAGGCCTTCAAAGTAATGGTAGTCGATTTTCGGAAGAATGCGATGATTCCCTTAGAACAATGCCGCGCCACAGTTTCAAGCGTCTTATCATGGAACTGTCGAATGCGCGTCACTTTCTTCCGAATTTTGCTGGCAATTTAACGCTATCACCTTTATGTGCTCGCAAGAACACTCCATCTAGTGAGACACTGCTAATTATGTGCACTTCTTAATTTTTTTTTTTTTGATGGATTCGATGTTTCTTCTAAGTTGTGAATCTTCCAGTTCCGAACGTCGAAACGCGCACTTCCGCACGTCGCAACTGTGGACAAATGCTTCATGCAGGAACAGGCCTGTGTGCCAAGGTTCCAACGAAAATAGTAGGCTTCACAGCAGTTCTTGTTAGATGAGAACTATGAGGAAGCCTGAGAGAAATTTCTGGATTAAATTGTTGAAACACCAACACCTGCAATACCTATTCGGGAATTCGATTAATATTCCTTTTTAGCTGAACTACCTTGGAGCGTTATTCTATACTCAAATTGACGAATATTTTCGTATATTTCAAAACCTACTTTTCTTTAGTCTCGGTATTATTAATCAACATGTATTCTTTTTTTGATAAATTTATACGAGGTTGATAAACAATTTTTATTCGGTTAACGTTTCGACGCCCTTGTCTTCATCATAGCCGTTGATCGGAGTCGATAGTCCACGGTTTTTCTTCGTCTCGATGTGGCGTCTTGGCGTCTTCGCCTTTGTATCGAGTTGTGTCTTCGTCAGCGGACCATTTCTTCAATGAGGCATGCTCACTCAGTGATACACTTTTATGCAGGATGCTGATGGTGATAGTTCGGAATTTCCGGTGAACGTAACTTATTTTTCAAGGGCAATCAATGCTGTAAAAGTCGGTATTATTATCAGTTAGCAAAATCAGCAATAATAATATTTCAAAACCGTCTTTCCTTCAGCCTCGGTATTACTGATTGCACGGGTCATCGGCTCTGATGAAGACGAAGGCGTCGAAACGTTAGCCGAGCAAAAATTATTTATCATCCTCGTGTAAGCTTATCAAAGAAAGAATACATATTCTCATATAGTTGAGTTTTTATCTACTGCCTTTTACAAGTTTTAACGGCAGGGTATTATCTGTGAAGCAACCACAATGATGCTGAAATATTTGCAAAACTCCCGACCACAGGTGTTTGCGGTGGGGAACGAACGCGCTATTGTCCTTTCCGGGGAGTAACGCGTTCACCAACACACCACGCGGGTCCTTCGTCTTGCCTGTCTTTCAGCTAGTTCTATCTCAGCACCATTGCGGTTGCTCACAAATAATGCCTTGCCGTGAAAATTTGTAAAAGACAGTAGATAAAAAGTCAACTTTTGTTAATTTCTACTATAGCCTCAGCCTAACTGGGTTCAATGCCGATTTTGCTCTCCAGATCAATCCCGTTGGCGGGTGACTGGTGATGGCAATGATCTATAGAATTAGCTGAAAGACGAACGAAGCGAACGACCTGCATGATGTGGTGGTAAACGCGTTACACCCCGGAAGGAATAATAACGTGTTCGATCTTCACCGCAGACACCTGCGCTTCGGAGTATTGCAAATATCTCATCATCATTGTGGTTCATTCTCATGCAGTTTTTCGGCAGTTTTCATGATATTCATTTCCTACAAAGTTAAAAGAAAATATCTTGGTTTGTTGTGCCTTGTGACCTATCTAAAACGAATCCTTTCGATTGAGGTAAGGAAAACGACTCGTGACCCCGTCATAAGTTTCCTTGAAATAACCTCATGTTAGCTTAATCTTCCAAGAAAACAAGCTGTTATGATTCTTCTGAGGAATGGCTGTTCCACAAACAACTACTCACTAACCAAGACCATCATTCTTTTTTCGATGCATTACACTGCAAATGAATGAATATAAACGTGTAATCTGATGTTTAGGCTCCTTGTGCTCGCAGAATGGCTGCACTGTGAGTCGAGGAGAATCGGTGCATTCTCGAAGAAGACCAGCGTCTTTGCTGCACTTTCACATGACCGGTGGTGAATCAGAAATGCCATTCACATATGAGCAGGTGTGAGAAAATCGCTTAGCATATGCATAGTTTTCAATGTAGTTCTCAAAGCATGAATGATCTCTCTGCTTTTCCAATGCTCCCATTTGAGCTTAAAGCGAACAGTATTGTAACATCACAAGGAATAGGTGATTTCTCTGTTTTCCAACGTTTGCGTTTCAGCCTAACATTACTACGACGACGTTTAAGTTCGCGTGCTAGCTTTTACGCCCTAATCGCCGTTCACTTTCATCTTCGTTGTATTTTGTAGAACGCCGATTGAACTTAGCTATGAATTTCTAATATTTATGCTCTGGAATTCTTCGCACTCAAGGCTTTTAAACATGCCTTTCACTTTTTTCCTTGTGAACAAGTAGTAACGCCACATCATAGAACGTGATATGGAAAGTTTACATAAAATGAAACATAAAACTTTATACAGCAGATGGCTAGTGCAATGGTAGCTATAATGCATTACGACCACGGTTCTGGTTTGGTGCTAGACTTGTCTGGGAACAGTTACTTCATGCAAACCAAGTGGAAACGCTAAGACCTGGCTATCTCGGGACTCTAGGAACAATAGACTCAACCAAAGCTTAGCGACACTCATAAGGAAGACGACAATCTTCATCCAGCAGCTAATCTTACACGAGAAAAGTTCAAAGATCTTCGTGGATTACGGGTTCAGAAAAAGCAGTCGGGTGCAAGAAGTGTTTCAGGATCAGCAAAGTAGATTCGACGGCGGGTCATATGACAATGAAACTAAGGATTGCTAGGCAACCACAATTTTTTCTAGTTTTTTGGCAACAAAAAGCAAGTTAAAGAGCAGCTAATGAAAGCATACAGAAAAAACCACAAGTAGTTGAGAGGAAACCAATGGAGAGTACCAATACGAAATAGACTGTATCGTAGATTGATTTTGAAGATTGAAGATTTTTTTGCCTCATCGGTGGCGCTGTTGCGCCAAAATTGTCCACGGGATCAGACCATCGCCTCATTCGTGCCGGATTTCTTTTCTAGTGGAAAGGAAAAAAGCCGCTTAATTGAAAAAACGAAGTCCCAGAACCACCATAAACTGGGATTTGTTCAAATCACTAGCCCGCTGTTACGAAGATGCCGTTCTCGATAACATTGACGAGGGATACGAAGGGTCTGAGAGAAGGGTTCGCAAAATCCGCCGAAGCTTCGTCAACTAAAAAACCAACATTATTGCATTCTGACGCCCAGACGGAACACTTACAGCTTTCAAAAAATCAATTGTGAAATTCATTAACGTTTACTACTGGGACCTCTTCAATAGCCACCTCCTCCTGCACTCAGACGAAGAAATCGAAGATAGTTATTTCAACCCACCAGTTCTCCCTGCCGAAATCTAATATGCTATTTCATCGGCGAAGAATCGAACAGCATCTGATCAAGGCAGAATAAGATCTGAACACCTTAAGAACCTTCTGCCAGTTCTCATAAACGCACTGGCTCGACTCTTCGCATGATACGTGTTTGAATCCAAGGTCTAATCGGTGGAAGACCATCAAGGCCATGGTATTTTTCAACAGGGGTAACTTCCAGGATATCGGCAACTATCACCCAATCTGCTTACTGTCTCTCGTCTTCAAGCTCTTCACTCGAGGCATTGCAAATAGAATTGACAGATTCTCGAAAAACTCACCGCTTTTTTCTTGGCTTCCAACGAGGAAGATTAGAACAGCTGATTATAGTCGCATATGGTTGATGACTGCACCACCCCACATCAAAAATTGTTGCAAACATAATTGTCAGAAAACTGGAGGAAGGACAGCTGTGTGAACAAACTTGAACTTGACTTGAACTTGAACTTGAATGGCCCGTCCTCACTGGTTGTGCGGGTCCCAGTATAACCTCTATTTTTCGGAGATTTGCTGGTTAAGTCATTGTGGTTTCCTGGAATCCTGAGGCCGGCTTAGCCAAAGTCTGCCCAGGTCTTCACCACCACAGACCGTCGCAGTCCTTGCGGATCAGAGGGAGATTTGCCACCATGCGACTTTGTTACCAGGACGGTGGTAGATCCTGGTATTAATTTAACAAACGAGGTTTGGCAACGTATTCAGCACGATGGACCACATCTACATTATAACAATACTCATCGAAGTATCGCGAGAGCACTGAAGACTGCTCTGCCTCACTTTCATGCGAAGGTCCGACCAACGTCACCCATCAAAAGTTGAAGACGCCATTCTATATGCCAAACCGTCGAAGGTAAGATTGGTTGGATAAGTAAGGCGACAACCCATGGACAAGAGTCGTTAGTGACTGTACTCCTCGGGTTGTCAAAAGTACTTAAGGAAGACCACCGATTCGATGGTCAGAGTTCTTCGCGAAAACTCCAGGAAAAAGACGTAATGCTCCACGATTCTCTGGAGCAAACAGGACCCATTGGGCTACTTTTGCACCGACAGAACAAATGTAATATTTACTGACGCCCACTCCAGTCACTCGATAATCAATGGGGCGAGAGGTGATGAGAGCGATGCAGTTCATCGAAAGCAAGAAGCGGCAAAGTACAAGGAATTGAATCTAAAAATTATATAGCAAATTGGAAGTTTTTATTTTTTTTGGCAGAGTTTTGGAGTGGAATTACTGTTTATACCACCGCTTAGGGTAACCGTGGCCTTGCTCAATATCTTTGTGGCCTCGCTAAGGAAGTAGAGCGTTTTGGATTTTAGCAAGAAATGCCTATCCGATTCCTGAGCTGGAACGTCGTTGATACGTCAAACATTTCATGTTCGAGATTTAAAAAAACAAAGCTATAAGCAAAGTCAAGAGTATAGTAAAAGTTGCAAAACGTGAGAGGAGCGTCGGCAGCGCTTTCTTAGACATCTCCACAAAAAGGACCAAGTAACCAGCCTAATAGAGCAGTGCCTACGCGTAAGTATAGTGAAGACGACAATCCACGTGTTCTGTTCTTACCTTCCCTCGTTCATAGCTTTGCCATCGTGGAAACTCGTGATAATGCTTCGTCTTTATCCTTGATTCTAAAGAAGGCTTTCGTTTCCACTAAGGCTGAGGTATTTACGAAAACCTAAAGCAATCAGGACATTTCTGCATTATGCATTATAAAACTTTGTGACGAACAACTGGGAAAAACTTTGTAACCAAAGTTATCTCATCCTACAGGTATAATCGATGTACAGATGGGTTTCACAAGACAATATCATTTAGCTTTACTATCTAAACGAAGGAAGCACATAGCACAGTGGTAGCGATGCAGGTATGACGAATAGGGTGCTGCTTCGATCGCGAGCCAGGACCATTAGGCCCATAATCTCTATGGTGTCGGGAAATTGGCACTATAGCAGGTGAATGGTAAAAGCTTTGGAAGGCTCTAGCACGGGTGCAGCAAACTTCAAGGGCAAAAATCTTTCCCATTCAGCATATTATGGGTCCAGTGGGAATTGTAATGAGACTCGAAAGACCGACTTTCTATGAACCTCTATGATAGATAGTTGATATATTTATTTATGTGATCTTATAAACTGATCTTCTTAAGCTGACGCGAGGTTGGTACAGATCTTCGTTTTCGTTGTCGTTGTCGTTGTTTTTGATGTTATTGAACGATGGCTGACGTTTCGGCGACTTCGCCTTCCTCAGAGCCTGGACGTACTTTATGTTAGAATACTTTTTATTATTCGGTGGAAAAGAAGGTTAAAGTATTAATGAAGATCAAACTTTCAAATAGGCGCCATATTGAACAGAAAGGCCACTCACCGTGATGTTACGTGCGGGACTGGCCCACACGTAGTTCACGTGGAGTCGCGAGCAAGACACGCCCCGGGGTCAAAATATCATTTTGAAATAGGGCGCCAGGTCACGCGTGATAGTGAGGCATTCGTCCTTCCGGTTCATCTTTGGATTTTTGAAATTTATCTGAAACGCCTCAAGAGTTTTGCGCGTTGATGTTTTTGATTCCTGCGCTAGGATCCGCACATTCACTTCAAAATCATCGCCGTTGTGCTTTTGTGCCCTATGCGTACCTAGAGGGGTGTTTTAACGAATTTTAGCTTTCCCATCTAGATGTTCTTTTATGCGGACACAAAGTGGTCTACCCGTTTCCCCGATATATTCCTCGCGGCATGCATTACATGAGATCAAGTATATTATACCTAAACTCATGCAATCCCCGTCTCTCCCGTTAGGACAGATCATACAGTTTTCTGAGCTGCACAAACGATCATAGAGACGGTTTCGAACTAACTGGCGGCGTAGGGTATTGGGTGGGATGTCAACAATCGTTACATAATTTTCAAGACCAATTTTTCTTAAGCACTTTTTAATGGCGTGACTTACTTCATTTGATATGAAGGGTTTCTTAAAGGGAATCTTATTTTCGTCTGAAATATTATTTTGGGAAACTACCCAGTGTTTTCCTCTAACCCGAGTGGCTTCTACTTCGTAGCCATTGGAAATGGCAATTTTTACCCGAGGAATATATCGGGGAAACGGCTAGACCACTTTGTGTCCGCATGCGTGTGGGCCAGTCCCGCACGTAACATCACGGTGAGTAACATCACCTTTCTGTTCAATATGGCGTCTATTTGAAAGTTTGATCTTCATTAATACTTTAACCTTCTTTTCCACCGAATAATAAAAAGTATTCTAACATAAAGTACGTCCAGGCTCTGAGGAAGGCGAAGTCGCCGAAACGTCAGCCATCGTTCAATAACATCAAAAACAACGACAACGACAACGACAACGAAGATCTGTACCAACCTCGCGTCAGCTTAAGAAGATCAGTTTATAAGATCACATAAATAAATGTAATGAGACTGTACAATACTTAGTGATTCTTGAAAATGAGGGATTTTAGTGTTTCAGTAATTCAATATATATCAAGAGTAGCCATGTTATTAGCATGGTCACAATGAAAAGACTTTTCAGTAGATCCTAACCCAAGCCTAACCTCTTTAATCTCTCTACCCAACGTAAAGGAATTCTCACTAGATGTTCTCTCAGTGTGCATGTTTTAAATAGCTCTTTATCGTCGACCATTTCACCAGTTTTTAATTTAGATTTACCAACTAAGTGTTCTTTTGTGCGGACGCAAAGCGGTCTGCCCGTTTCGCCATAGTATTCTCCCTGTACGCTTTACAAGAGATCAGATAGACTCATAGTTCATCGAGAGCACTAAACTCTCGTGCCATTAAATCTTAACCTAAGTTAGTAGTTCTATCCTCTTGAAGTAGGAAGAACGGCAAAATTCCTCATAAACTAGTTTCCACAAAGGGTTTAAAAGCTAACATGCCCAAAACCGTGAAATAAGCCATTTCCTGCGGAACTCTCGAAAAACGCTTAACGTGAGCAAAATCTTGGAATAAGCGTTTTCACTGCGGAACTTTCGAAAAATGTCTAGCGCACTAAACCTTGAAATAAGCGTCTCCCGAGTGAAACTCTCGAATAACGTCAAGTGTGCGCTAAAGCTCGTAATAAGCGTTTTCCGAGTGGAACTGTTGTACGTTCCCATTTCGTCTAGAGTGGCAAAAAAGTAATGATCTCCGATGTCACTGATTGTATTAGGAATCTTTTTCGACGTCATAAAATGCTAAGATTTTTGATATTACATATTCGATATTCGATATATTTCGATATGTTCCACAGGACGAGTACGTTGGCCAAACGAGTAGACCACTCGGCGTCTGTGTAAGGGAACACAGACAAACCTGATGTTAAGCCAATCATTTTACTAGCTGCGCATAGGACACAGAAAATTGCCCGTTATGCCTGGTATCAAGCTCGAGATCTAGGCTGTCGTCGGGACTTCGGAGAACCACACTGGCTAAGCCAGCATCCGAAAACTGGAGAATATGGTGTGGACCGCACAACCAGTGAAAACGGACCGTCTAAATATCCATCTGAGGAACTTCACAGTCTACATGTTTTGCTTACTTTCCATTGTAACTCACACTTTGAACATAAAAGCGACTGAGCGAATAGGAGCTTCTTTCAATACAACAAAAAAGAAGCGCTTCCCAATGTGTCTTCGACATCTGCAGCCACCACCATTTGCGCTGGAATTTTCGAGGCAGAGAGAAAGGTAGCCGTAGAGCGATGTGGTATCATGACAAAATGAACGAACCTCGTTAGTTTTCCTCATTTTTCTGCATATTGCACTTTCTGTATAATTATTGCCTTTTATCGGTAAAGTACTTCGGAAAACGTTTATTTCGAGGTTTTATGCATGTTAGACGATGTTCGAGAGAATCGCCCGGAAAACGCTTATTTCGAGGATTTGTTTGCTACACACACTTGGGATCAATCCTTACTCCCGTTACCCACCAAAATTTCTACCCCTCCATCACTCCGGGGTTATCCGATTGGTACCGGACTTATTTGGGAGGATAGCTGGCTCGATACATCGGTAGGCAACTGTTTCAATCAATGGCATTTTGTTGAATGAACGCGTAGTGCGGAACCCATCACGAACTGCCTTAATTGCCAAACCGATTACAACAAACAACCACTTTTTGAAGCACCAAAACTGCTTTCTTGAACAGAAAACATAGTAAATGAAATCATGTGGAAAAAAGTGTTTGCAATGTGGAATAACTCGCAGAATAGCTAGTGCTAGTCTCGCTTCACAATTGCCTAGAGAGGAGAAAAGAGTGAAAAGAGGAATATTGAGACAAAACAATAGTCAAGGTCTTCTTAAGATCTTTAAGATCGTGAATGATTTTCTCCATTGCCTTTCTGGACGCTGTAACTGTTCCGTCTGGGTGTGGGAGTGCAATCGTTTTGGTTACGTAATTGATGAAGTTTCGGTGGGTTTTGCGAATGCTGTTCCCAGCCTCTGTAGCTTCCACCATTACTGCTGTTCTTCTGTCTTTAAGATCTGCGTTTTCAATAGCCCTTTATTGTCGACCATTTCACTAACACTGCGGATGCTTACAATCAGTTTTATTTCCATCTTAAACTTTATGAGAACGGGATTATGTTTTGTGCAGTCTAATTGCAATGCCTCAAGTGGTTAAACACAAACTGCACGGAGAAATCTGATCCTTTCTAACTCCACTAATTCTGCGATGTATCGGTCAAAATGATAACTCTTACGCTGGCCAATTTGGCACCGAATATTTTACTAATATAACCTTCTTTAAGCAAGCCTTTCAGATCCAGTTACACTCTCCAGCAACAAACACCACTTTCATCGCACGATTTCACCCGGAAGCGGTCGACAAGTTTTCCATCGTCGCTTTCCCACTCGCTTTCACGCTCTTTAACGTGAGTTTAAAAGTTGTGGTAACACTGCAGGAGCAAACAATAATATTACAAAGGGTAGTAAGCCGTTGTGCAAAGAAACAGTGACCGGGTTATTCTATGGTCAACTCAAGTGCATACTCTAATTCACGGTTGAAGCTCGTTCAGAAAATTGGAATTTCATTCGTTATTAGTTTTCATAGAACGCGTGTGGTGCCATGGTCGGAGGCGCCCTGCAACACACACGTGGAGTCGATCTCCGCGCCCATGGCTCACCAAACCTTCCATCCCTCCGGGATTGGTAAATTGGTACCAGACTTGTCTGGGAGGATAGCAGCACTGGCTCGATACATCGATAGGCCACTGCGAATCATTGTAAAAGCCAAATATGCATTCAGTCACGACTAAACGATACTTGATGAAGTTGTATGCATAGCGGATTGATCAACGGCGAGAGCTTTATCTTTTATCCTTTTATCAGTTTTCATAAAAGAACGGTACTTTTTTACAATTTAAGTGTGTAAAATTTTTTTTAGGTGTTTTTTGAAATCTTCCACCAGTATTGATTTTGATTCTGCTTTTCTTTATGCAGAATAGTCATTTCTAATCGCTTTTATAGTCACTAAATGTGAGAAGAAATTGAGTAAGTAAGTGTTACTGTGCTTCGTCAGAGAACTTGAGAGAAGCGAGATCACATTCGTCTCGAGCCGTAGCTTTCCCATGAACGCTTTTAGAGACCAATATGGTACTACAGTGCTCTATCAATCGTTACAAGAGACGAAGTGACGACATGTTGTTGAACCCTTCTTTTATATTCATCGCAATCCAGTGAGGTGCACCGTTAACTGTACAATAACGATAAATTCTGGTCTCCATTTGAGCACAATACTATGACTCGAATCCTCTTTCCCGAGTTACTGAGACCTATTTTATTAGAAGCGTCCCAACGGTTTACAGCCACATCGTGGCTAGGAGATGTTCCTGAGTGTCGGGCTGCGATGTACAGCGGGGGATTCATCCTCTGGCAGGGTCTCCCAAGCTGAGAAGGAGTCCGGCGTTTTCATCAGGAAACCTAGCTAAGAGTAAACCAATGCCAGGATCCACCACCGTTCCGGTATCAAAGTCGCATGGTGACAAATCTCCCTCTAATCCACAAAGGCTGCGACGGCCTTCGGTGGTGAAGACGTGGGGCCGACTATGGCCAGACTAACCTCGGAATTCCTGAGAACCACAATGACTTAACCAGCAAATCTCCGAAAAATGGAGGTTATGCTGGGACCCGCACAACCAGTCAGGGCGGATCATTCAAGTATCTAGAATCAAGTATTTTATTAAAAGACAGGAAGTGTCATCGAACTTCCAAAAAATGTTTCAGCTAATCTACTGGTGGTACTATCTGTCACAATCTTTTGACTACAAGGTACAGCAGACGGCTTCACACTAGTGTAATATCAACTGTGAACAGAATCGTGGGTAATTTGTGAGTCGAATTTGAAATGGATGTTCAACTCCTATCAACCAACCGGCAGTGCATGTACAGGTATCAATTGACTAAAAACCTCGCGATTTGATTGTGATCTCAGTTTATGATGGACTGTATTTCAACTTGTTTCACACCGAAAGTTTGGTGTTCAGGAATTACTGCTCGATTTCAGACCTATGTCTTCAAAAGCCATTAGAATCTTCACATTTCTATCCATGAGAAAAGAGTTTGCTTATACCAGTTGTAAAAAATTCTGAACTTCAAGAGACCATGTTGTCATTGACTGCAGTTTAGGCCTAGGTGCGGTTTCTGAGGCATTTCTTCCACAAGTAGTTGATGACATGCTTGAGGAAGCAGTAGTCGGTAGGTGAGAGTTATGACGAGTATGGCCGATGAGGCACGGTATTGCAGGGTTGGAGCATTGGCAATGCGACGTCTTGCAAGTTTCTACGTCATCCATTCCTCAAGCTCTTTTGCACTTTTAGAATTTTCAAATGCTCCGAAACAGTTTAGCATGCATTGGCTTCAACCAAACCATTCAGTTCATCGTCATCAATAGCAAAAGAAACGCCGCTACCTTTTCCTCTTTTTCGAGGTGGAATTCCTCACAGCGAAATTCTTGAAAGTGACGTCGCACATTGCGTCCCTTACTATGCCCCTATATCTCTTTTTTCCCACACCTCGCCGCAGTTTCGACCCGTTCGCGCTGAGGTTTGAATTGATAAAAGTGGATTCGAGTTTTAAATTCAAAGTTAATTGTGCTGCATTTAGAAACAAAATTTTGCCCTAAATGGACAAAAGAAAATGAAATTACAAATCCAGCATTAGTTTCGAGACAACCTAGTAACGACTACTATTCACACCATGGCTACATTTTTGTAGTAAATTTTTATGATCGAGGTAGTTATAGCTGTCATTCGGCTGCCTTAAAAAATCCTACGTTTCTACTAGAGTCCACTAATTCTTATTTCCACTTCTTTGCTTTCTTTTGTTGCCTTTTTCTATCGATTTCGACCAACGTCTAATGGAGTCACCTGCTTTTTGGCCTTACTTTTCCACTTTTGTGTTACCTAAAGGGTTTCTTCTAGTCAAAATATCATGTTTTTACAGCACCTTTTAGCCGTTCAATTTGAATTTGTAGATCTACTTATTTCACATACGTGTCGTCTCTTTAATATACGGATACCAATGATACAATGGTTTTTATACAGAGGTATTAGCACTAAGTTATGTATATTCATCAACCGCATGCTTCTAAAGATGTTGTTCAAGTCATCCCCATAATTTTATTAGTAGCTGAATTTGATTAGCATGTATCTACTTCAATGGCAGATCGGGAAGAGATTTTACCTATGGTCCTAGGGATTATGCTTTTTGCGGCGATTGACTTGAAGATGTTCGATCGAATCTATCCTTACCACCAGGTCATCAGTGAATATCTAGTGCCCGTCCGAATTAACATCTGTGATTCAATTCGATTCTTGTTAGATGTGCATTCGATGTGATTGATGTTAATAAATGGAGAGTTCTTTACATTCGATGCTATGCGATCTCCTGTTTCTACGTTTTGAAGAAAAGCTGGTTACATGCCTATACATTCACATCAACTTTCCTTGCTAAGGGGACGTTGGGCTGACCTCAAGCAATGACGGCGCAGTGGATCGGATGCCGCGAAGGGCGAACAACACAGCGGTGAATATGGTTTGTTCTTGATGAGCTCCATAGTAGCCCGAAAATTCATCGAACAGTCAACAAGTTTACTGCCGAGACACATACAATGGTTATTTTAGGAGAACTCCCATTCATTTTGACATCGTACGAATAGTGGAGTAAATACTGCAATTTCCATGAACTTCCCAAGGGTTCACCGCCTCACTTTTGACTGTTCCTGTGTGCCCGGTTGCAGTGTACAGCTGAGGGAATCATCCTTCCAGCAAGGCTTCCCAAGCTGAAAAGGGAACCGGCGTTTTTATCAGGAAGCCCACCTAAGGGTAAGCCAACACCAAGATCCACCACCGTTCTGGCATCAAGCTCGCATCAGCTACATAGTAGCAAATCTCCCTCGGATCCACAAGGACGGCGATTACATGTGGTGGTGACAACCTGGGACAGCCTTTGCCCTAGCTGACCTCGCTAGTCTAGAGAATTACAGTGGGTAAACGAGCAAAACTTCGAAAAAGTGCAAATTAAGCTTAAGGGCCACAACCAATGACGACGGCCATCCAAGTTTCTAAGTAAATAATTTCTATGGGCAATTAATTTGGTTAGCACTCTTTAGTCGTTGCAAAACCTACTGTTATTTCTCGTTTCTCTTTGGATTTGTGCGCAAATTCATTACTGCGAATGCTAGAAAGTCTGGAGAAGCAGGGAAATCCAAATTTTCGATTTTTCTTTCTTTGCCAGACATCGACACGGAGATTGCTGGCGAAGAAATTTTTTAATTACTTTGAAATTACCTTAAAAACTTAAAGGATAAAGATAAATACGGATAAAGCTTTCGGCGTTGATCAATCCTTAAGGGATGTGCCATGAATATGACTTCATTAAGCATCGTTTGGAGGTAATTGAACGCATGTCTGACTTTCACCATAGCTCGCTGTGGCCTACCGATGTATCAAGCCACTGCTGCCATCCTCCCAGAAAAGCCTGGTACCAATTTCCTGACCCCGGAGGGATGGAAGGCTAGGTGAGCCACAAGCGCGGGGATCAATCCCATATGTGTGTAGCAGGACGCATCCGATCACTGCGCCACAAGCGCTCTTTGTTAAAAGTTAAACCAAGTAGTTGAGTTGCCCTATATTGTAATATTCTTTGGTAGGCCGAGAAAAACTACAAGCAAACGGAAAACCATTGCCATTCAAACCATTCCAAAAACTATTCTTCGAAAAACTGACGGCTTGCAGGATCTGGCCGGAAGCCTTCAACATAACATCTATCTTAATGCTACAACACATGCTCCTGATTTTCAAGTTAATTCAATTGGTACATTTTCTTGTTAACATTGTTTTGCAAGATATCACTAGAATTAATATAGAGCTAAATTTTAGCTCTACTTCTCGTCTATTCAAAGTCACTAGGGATTTATGACACTTGTGACGATCCAACTAGTATTCTTCAAAGGAGTAAGCCTAAACATTTTATTCCAATAGTTGCTCAACGTTAATTGACAACTTAGAAAAGACATTAAATACTAGCACTTAAACTTTAAAAAAGTTTAAAATCTGTTACTGAAATGAAAATGGGTGGACAGCACAGTGATAGTGATGCCGATCATCACGGGTACAGTGCTGGTTCTGTCTCTCCTTGGGCTCTCCAAAGTTCCAATGTCTGCCGGGAAATTGCTACCGGATTCGTCCGAGAAAAAATTTCTCTCTTCAATCCAATTGAGAACGCTGAAACCCAGATATATCAGGACTCCAGAGTGAATCGAGTCGGCCAGCATTCAACAACGTTGAAGATGAAGCGAAAATCCCTAAGCAGCAGCTGAAACCACATGTAATACTTTCGTGGATGATGTATGTGACGAAATTGATCGAATATGAGAAGAGCTGAGATACGAACAGTAGACGTGAAGATAGGCCGTATAAAACAAACAGTAAGGAAACATTGAGAGGAGAACTCTTATCACATTACGTAGATCGCTCTCAGCAATGCTTTTCGAACTCGTTACGCAAATATTAAGTTTTTCTTGTTCAGCAATCGCAAGGTTTTTAAACAGCATACATTCACTTCCATAAAAACACAATACAATACAAGGCTAGCTGACGTTTCGGCAGTATCGCCTTCTTCAGAGCCGCTTTTTCGTGACTTCCAATGAGGAAGTTTAGAACAGCTGATTATAGTCGCATGTGGTTGACGACTGCCGTCGGGCATCAGGCCAGTGCTGCTATCTTCCCAGACAAGTCCGGTACCAATTTGCCGACCCCAGAGGAATAGAAGGCTTGCTGAGCCTTGGGCGCAGAGATCGATCCCATGTGTGTGTTGCAGGGCGCCTCCGACCACTGCGCCACGTGTGCCATTGAAATGCAGGTATACAAACAATACTTTTTTACGCATTAATAAACCCAGAAATTGATTAAACAAAAAGTCGTGGTATGCAAAACGTGATTTATCTGAAGAGAATTGGAACCGCCTAAAGGACATTGTCAATTAAGCTAAAAACTAATTAAGAAGATCGCACAAATTTTAGAGCGCAAATATTTGCGGGTGTAGATGTGACAGTTTCCAAAGCTTCGTCACACATTCAGATGAACCCGAGACCCTTAAATTCCGAATTCTAAAAGAGTCGGTTATTGAGAAGAGGCTCAAATCTTAAAA